GGCTGGGAGCAGGGTTGGTGTCACCTGGGAGAAGATGCATGTGGCACCCGGCCAGGCATTGAAATGTCATGGGTGTGACCGAGCAGGGATGTGGGTGGCACCCACCCGGGCCTGGGGACAGGCTCAGGGGGTGTCCTCACCCTGATGTGCAGCGCCAGGCGCCGGGACCCCTCCCCGGGGGGGCAGCGCAGGCAGAGCGGCTTCAGGACGTAACCACAGCGCCCGTTGGGCAGGAAGCGCCCGGCGTTCAGGTCCATCTCGTACCCCGGCGTCTGGAAGTTGAGGGCCACTGTGGGGACAGTGGATGGGGTGTCAGGGTGGGTGACAGCTCCAGGGGTGGGTTCCAGGTCAGGGGAGGGCCTGGGGGTCTCACCCAGCTGGCAGCCAGCGTTCCACATCTCCTGGGGGTTGTAGTTGGCAGAGTTCATCTTGAGCCCCAGCGGGTACACGCGGCTGAGCTGGCGCGCGTTGTACCGGACCAGCGCCGGGCCTGGGTGGGGGACACGGCTCAGAGGGGCCACAGCACCCTCAAGTTCTGCTGGGGGGCCCCAACAACGGGTGATGGGCCCAGGGACACAGACACAGCCTGCCCAGCTGGGTGGGCCTGAGTCTGAAATGTGACCCAGGCCCTGAAACCAGACCCTGGGGTTCAGACCCCAACCCTGGACCTTGATTTTGGACCCCTGACCCCAAATCTCTGACCCTGGATCCTGATCTTGACCCCACACTTTGACTTTAGACCCCTGACCCTGGACCTTGACCATGGAGCCTTTACCCCGGATCTTGACCCTGATCCCTGGACCTCACACTCCAAACCAAAACCCCCGAGCCCATGCCCTGACCCAGACCTAATTCTGGACTCCAGACATTGACCCTGGACCCCAGACCCTGAACACTGACTCCAGTCTTAATCTCAGGCCCTGACCTAAGATTCTGACCCGACCCCTTGATCCCAGACCTCAGTTCCTGGACTCTGCCCCAGACTTTATTCCCAGGCCCAGGCCTGGACCCAGATGCCACATCCTAAACACTGATCCTTGATCCTGGTTATGTGAGCCCAACCCTGGCCTCTGCCCCCAGGCCCTGCCAGCAGACCCCAGTCTCACCCACCCAGGGCAGCCTGGGTGAGGCCAGTGTGACCCTGACCCCACCAATGGAGCCACCCTCGAGACAGAGCCCATCATTCTCAGCCCATCCTGCATCCCAGTGACTCAGGACTGTCCCCATCTGGTGGCCCTCACCTGCCTCCTTGATGAGCTTCCGTGCCTTCCTCTCACTGAAGGAGGACATCTGGCAGGGCTGGGGGTGGCGCAGGGCCTGGGCCAGCCCGGGGAAGGGGACAGCCTGGCAGTACACCACCAACGCCGACAGCTCTGGGGACACCTGAGCCGCGTCCTTGGCCTGCGGGAGCCACCGTGGCATCAGGGACAACCTGGCCCTGGTGGCCACCTGCTGGCCCAAGGGTCTAAAGACCCCGTCCCCTGCTAGTGCTGAGTGCTGAGACCCCCAAGGCCACGGAGACCCTGATGCAGTGGAGACCCCAAGGTGGTGCAGAACCTGAGGCAATGCAATGATGGACCAGGGGCTGATGGAGAACTCAAGCACGTTGAGAACCCGAAGTCATGGAGAACCCAAGGGGATGGACAGCACAATATGTTGGAAACCCCAAGATGAGGAGGACCCCAAAGTGCTGAAGAACCTGAGGTTATGAGCACCCCAAGATGATGGAACACTTGAGGTGACAGAGACCACAAAGTGATGCAGACCCCAACAGGTCTCCCTGGATGTGATGGAGGCCCAACATGATGGAGAGCTTGAGGTGACAGAGAAATCAAAGTGTTGGAAACCCCAGAAACAGGCCACTCAGCCCAGCAGGAAGAGGGAGGCACAGCTGAGGGGTCCCCAGGCTCGGTCCCCTCCTCCAGGCAGTGACAGCCACTCAGTGCCCCCCCAGCTCCATCCCATGACCCACCTGCAGAGGTTTGATCTCCTGCAGTGACTGCAGCGACTGAAAGAGGAGAGAGCAGGGCTGCAGAGGGGGGTGGCAGAGCTGGCAGTGCTCAGCTGGGACAGTGCCAGGATGCCATGGTCCCCCAGCACCACCAGGATGCTCTGATCCATCAGGACCACCAGGATGCCGTGGTCCGACAGAATCACATCCCAGGGGAGGTCTCTCACCCGCCGGGGGCTTCTCTCCTGCACCTTCTCCTCCTCTTCTTCTTCCTCCTCTTCCTCTTCCTCCTCCTCAGGGTCCAGAAGGGAGGTGATGCCCCGGGGCTCCTGCCACAGTTCTGGCAGCTTCTTGCCCTTCACCAGGATCTTTTCCTTCAGCTGCTACAGGAGGCAGGTCCGAGCTCAGGGCTCGGAGGGGACATGGGGACACCGTGGTGTGCACCACGCGCAGGTGGCCTTACCTCTGGTGAGGGGAGATCGTGGGGGTCCTGCCCCTGCAGGGGCTGGGTCAGCAGCCTGTCCCCCAGGATGGCCTTCATGTGCCGGGCCATGGTGGCCTGCTGCTCCAGGCCGCAGTGGTTCTCCAGGGACAGGATAACGGGGTAGGGCGATTTCTGGGCATGGGGACGGGCAGCCCTCAACACCTGGCACCCAGCACCCCACACCCAGCTCCTGGCACCCAGCACCTGGT